GCATTTCAGACGGTCAAGATTTTAACATTCTCACTAGAAATGCAGCACTGGCACTCCACATGATGTTACGTCAAACAGAATTCAGATGACATAAAAAATTTCAGGTTCGCTAAAATACTACTCAAAATCCTGCTGTTTTCTGCCTACGCTCGCGATATTGCAGCCTGCCGGAACTTTCACCAGCAATTTGGCGAGATTGCCTGCAATGACCCTAGATTACGCTGAAGAAATGCCTCCAAGTTGATGCTTTGAGGCCCAATTTTACATATGTGCGTGCCAAGCTGGTGATGGGTAGCAGTGGTGCACTTAACTGTTACGTATATATACGTATGAATCATATTTTCAGTTCAGTTCAGGTCATCTTCGTAGGAGGTGTCATCCGAGACATCTTAACACTATCTTGTTATAACAGCAGGTTTACTAACAAGAGGTTTAGCTATTCTCAGTGAAGTGTCTGTATCATTGCGTCATCTTGTAACCTCTGTGGTATTGCCTGTGTAATTGCTTTTAGGAAATATTGTGACAAAATTGTACTCCATTCAGGGAAAATGCACATAATGCTCTCCCTGCCTATGTACATTTTGAGTATTGTGCAATAAAGTTTGAGTTTGTTAACAAATACAAGATCAGTGAAACCTGGCCAAGCAGCTACACATGTACCTCTTCAAGCAGGCCACAAGTCTAGTAGACATACAGTTAAGTAAGAACCACCTTTTCACAGTCCAAAATTTGCCCAATTTTTTTCTATACATGTAGGTGCAAACCAATTTTTGGTGCACAAAAGTTATTTAGTTTCTAGTTGTTTAGTTTCTATATTCTGTTTTATTTCATGTACACATGTATTTGATATTCAATCTCTGTATTCAGTTTCTTTATGTGCAAAATAAAATGAACAATAAACAGTGCAGGTACAATGTATTCAGAAAAAAAGTATTTTGAGCCCTGGGAGCTTACTGAAATTCCTGATTTTTTTCATGGTTCACTGTTTTCACTGTTGCTTCTGTACAGTGAACTTAATTTCTTTTTCCTGCACCTATCGCCACCGTGAACATACAGTTCCGTGAACATGTCAATTTTTCTCAGACCGTGAAAAATTCTGCTACCGTGAACACAAAGTGAACTACAGTATTTGATATTTCACTCCGGGGCCGACATCCTCCCTGGCTTGCCTCTGAAGACTTACGGGATTATTTCCTATTTGCTTACCGGCAGGTCGCGAATAACGCGGTCAGACGTCAGGCAAGTCCGTCACCATGGTAACGGTTCCATGTAACGGAATAATTTTACCCGATGAGCGCCGCTTGAGCAGTGCTGGTAAAAAGCAGGCTTGTATTCTGGTTACGTAGCAGATTAGGCCACACTAATTTCATTTGTTGATTCACGGATTCGCCTTTTCATTTTCTTTCTGATTTTCAAAAAAAAAAGAAAGAAATTCTGGTTCTGAATCAAGTCAAATATGCTCATAATTTGCCCCCAACAGTTGAGGAAAGTCCTTTTCTTTCTAGTTGTTACAGTTTTTCCATGTACCAATGCAGTGGTTTGATTAAAAGTTCAAAATTCATAATTTAAATATTACCCCAGCCTTTTGTGCTGACTTCATGGCTTCTATGTGTAGCATTTGGGGCTATAATAGGATGCCTAGACCTGTTTTTATCATTTTTTTTCACTCTGTTGCTTCATATTTTTTCTGAAAAAATCTGAGAACCAACAAATTAAATTGGTGTGGCCTTACCTCTGGTTATGTATCAGATTACCAGGAACGACTACAAGGGGGTTGCGGAGGTGACGGCGTTGTTAATTGGCTTCAGCGATTTTTCTCGCGCAGGAAAGCAAAGCTTCCTGGATACAGTGTTTCCTGGAATTTGTTTGTGCTTGTGTGATTGGCTGATTACTCTCTGGTAGAGCTGTGTACCTAAACAAATTTTAGGTACAGGTACAGGTACAGGTACACAGGTTTAGGTACAGGTCCGGACCTGAACCTGTACCTGAACAATCCGACCAATTTATATGCTCTTCTGAACTCCTTCAATAACAAAAAAACATAAATAAACTTGAAAGTTAAGGTTTATTCTTTGTTTATGGCGAATGCTCATATGAAATATAGGCAAAACTAAGATGTTTTTGTTTTCATGAACACACTGTCCTTACACAGGCACCCATTGTTAACCAGCTATTTAAACATTTTTTGAGGTCACAAATAGGCATAAAATTGGTGTGAAATTGTTTAGGTACAATACCGGTACTGAGGGATTAGGTATTTTGGACCTGTACCTAATCAATTTTTCCGGTACAGTATCGGTACTGCGTACCGGTACACAGCTCTACTCTCTGGTGCTTGTGATCTACCAGCAAAGACAACCTCCAAGCTCAAGTAGACTTGAGTAAGCCTCAAGGAAGTTGAGAGTAATTGTGTTGGGTTGTGAAGTTATGAGTAAGACTTTAAAGGAGTAACATTTTTGCACCAAAAATTGAAGTAGTTTAATTTAAAAAAATCTTCACTGTACATGTTATTGCTATCTACTTTTACTTTTCAACATATTTGTGCAATTATCTCAAATCTGTCTGTCATCTTCATCAGAGCAATTACATATATGACTGGTTTGCTAGATGCAATGAAGCTTAAACTTTGCAATTCAAGCATTCACCAACTTGAGAAAATCATTTCTAGACTCAATTCTACCTACTATACCCTCTTATACCCCCCGTGTGATGAGTCTTCAACCTAATGAAGTTTGACACGCAAACTGAAGAAGAAGATACAAGTCTTCAAGTACTGGCATTTTACACACATCAGTGACCATACATGTAGCTGGCAGTATATGATATACTAGTAGGTAGATTCCATACTGCAGAGTCTACCATGAAGAGTAGAGTAGAGACTTCAGTTAGGTACAACATGTAAGACATCTGTAGAGTTTTGACTGCTCCTTGTTCTTTTCCTCATTCAGCCCATAACATGGTGGGTTTGATTGAATGTTCTATTGGCCGGGTAACAGAATCTTCATGTGTCTGTCTGCCTTAAACTTTAGTTAAAGACATTCACCGATGGTGCATTTACCATGTTGTCTGGCGACTTGCATTCCAGCAAGGTACTATCTGTTAGTGTTACTTCTGCTTATAAAGCCCTTCCTTATACCAATAAACAACTAGCACGATCTTCACTCCTCCTGAGATTGCAAACATGATATAATCCCAACACAATCCTAAGCTAATAACCAAAGTTTCCTCCCCTCGGAGCCAATTTTGACCGTGCCCAACTATGCGTGACACACGGCGCTCGTGTGCTGACACTTCCGGCACATGCTTCTGCAGTACTCCACACAAAAACTTGCACAGGACTTCAGCCCCTAGCCTCTACGTACCTGGCATGCAGATCGCTGGAAAAATAGCTGAAATTGGCCAAAATAAAGGGATAGTATACCAGGAGAGTTAGCCAGCCAGAGAGGGTCCATTTTGTGACTTTATGGGTCGCAAAATTTAGCCAATTTCTAGAATTCTACTATTTTTCCAGCGATCCACGGTGCCTGGTAGAGGCTATTCAGCCCCAATGCTGCATTGAATGCTTGAACTACGAAGAATGTAGCAAATGCAGGGTCGGCATATTCTACTCCCCAACATGGGTCTACATCTGGGTCAGTTGGCAGCCAGGGTTGGAACCCAAATTTGTTCCCTTATTTTGTTCTGATCTCTATTGATCCACAACAATAAAAAAAACTTTGGTTTTGCTGCATTTATCTGTCTATGTACCTGCACCTTGAATTTTCACCAGCATAAAATGAAGAGGGGTCTTTCATTTCCACATACATTTGTACTGATAAGGCCCCTCCTCTTCAATTCCTAATTCAATATTGGTCTTTAAAACTGAGTCTGTGGACAAATTTTGTAATTTGAAGCCTTTAAATACCCACTTTCCCAAAAACAAACAATGGGGTTAAGAGTGGATGTCTTTATATATTAACCCGATTTTTGTCAATTATGTCCATCAAGCTTGAGTGACGGATTGGTTTAAACATTTTTCCAACACATGTCAACATGGAGTTCACAAGTTTGCTGCAATTGACGGAAAACGGGTGCTGACTAGAGATCTAGACCTGATCCCACAACAGACACTATGGGTTCCTGCCATCCCCTCCAGTTGGGTGATGTATTGTAATTGTAATGGACTTTTAGGCAAGCCTCCAGCCGCGGTCTGCATGTCAGCTCCAATCTACGCACACATCTACATTATCCAATCAATACAGCAGGGGAGGGGGCGGAATATAAAGGCTCACATCTAATGGCAGCTGGAAATGACCTGGAGTGACCTTAAGTTCTCACACCTGATTCGTGGAGACAGGTCACATGATCTGGAAATGACCTGGAGTGACCTTAAGTTCTCACACCTGATTGGTGGAAAATTCACATCTAACAATAGCAGGAAACAACCTGGAGTGACCTAAGGTTCTCACACCTGATTGGTGGAAAGTCCCCTGAACATTCGTTTAAAATTCACATCTAACAGCAGCTAGAAATGACCTGCAGTGACCTTGAGTTCTCACACCTGATTGGTGGAAAGTCACCTGAACAATGGTTTTAAAATTCCCAACAGCAGCAGGAAACAACTGCGAAGATATAGTTCCTCAATGTCCATTATTTCTCAGACCATGAACTTTTGCTACCTCGAACATTAACCCTTGTCCTGCGGGGCCCATATATATATGGGTTGCACATATAGTACCATCTATATAGTGCCCTGTATATGTGCGATTTGGGGGTGTTTCTCGTGCAACGCATCACACCGCAGCGAAACGCAACGAATGCGGAAGTAACTACGCCGCCGCAGGGCAAAAAAAAGTCAAGGGTCTGTGACCTGATTAAGACATGAAATTATTTGAAAATATTGTGTAAAAATTGCCAGCAGGACAAGGGTTAAGTGAATTACAGTACCCTTCCATGGAAAGGATACATGTACCTCCTCCACTAATAGTATAAAAGTCTTGAAGAATTATGAGGGTACTTACAAGTCAAAGACGAGATAGTGAAACCCTTCTTCCGGTATGCTGTCGTGTAGTCTCACTGTAGGGCAAGAAAAAGGGTTAAAATCTGAACCATGACGACAGAATCAATGCTATAGTAGCCATCCGTACCAGGATAGAACTTTCATATATACTTGTTTATGCATTTCATTTATTCATCCATTTTTAATTCATCCCCATCATTCCTTCATTCATTCATCCATCCATCCATCAATCCATTCATCATCCATCCATCCATCCATCCTTCCATCCATCTATCCTAGTGATCACTTTGCCGCCCCCCCCCCAAAAAAAAGAAACACAGACAACAACACAGAAAAATTTAGCACCAGAAAACCCATGGTAATGTGTACTACCCATAACAAATAGTGGTGGAAAACCATTGCAACAGGTATTACAATTAATGCCTAACAAATTAAAGACTAGTTGTACTTCGTTTCTACCATAATGATGTACTATAATTTCACAGAAAAAAGCTGCATTTATTCTTCAATCCGCTCTCTGATTGTACTATACATGAGATTGAAAAACCTTCTAACTGGAGATTTTGTGTTAGAGGCCTTGGGATTGAGGCCCTTCAGGGCACGAACCGATCAGATAGCCTCCCATCGCGAACCATTCTGCAACTTCATCAGAATGATATTCATGCTTTCACACAGGCAACGGCCCCGATCAACACAGGCTAAAAACAATCCTGCGCGACAGTAAAGCTAGCATCGCGTTCAGCGACAGGGGACTACCTGGCACTGGACTTATTGATATTCTAAACGCATCTAGCAACCAGAGCAGAAGGGAGATTAGATATTGGACGATTTTGCTGACAATACACACCAAGATGGTAAGATACGATAACTATAATTCTTTCAAGTTATTTCCTCACAAATCAGTGCCATGTTTTAATCATCTGCACAAAATATATGAGTTAGGTAAAGAAATGTACAAAAGGTAAAGAAATTTGCAGGAGGAGGGAAGAAGGCTATATACAAAGCCCTCTTCCTTCAAACTTTACAAATATTAATCATGAAACTAATATAATCTGTATCTGTATATCAGGTATAACCACCCTTCGGCGTAACACACCAGCTACATGTATAATGATTTCAAAATGAATCGATAGAGACAAAGATATAAGGAAGAAGACTGTATATCAATTGATAAGCAAAAGCAATTCACAAATGACAAAAAATATTAACAGGACCAAAAACCAATGTACATGTACTAGAAATGAATACAACAGATAGTGAAAAATCACAAAACTGAAAAGGACATTGGTATAACCAAAATGTAATACATATTCAACAGAATTCAAATTATAAATCTAGAATACTTTTTGAAATACTCTTTTCAAAACCAACTACAATGCGCCGCCTCAAATATGATGATGACTTCTCTAAGATTAGCTATGGTGTAAGTTAAAAGTCTCTGCCAAGCTGTATTTTGCATTCAAGAACTACATTTGTAGTTTCAAGACACAGATATCACCCTTCCCACAGACAGTGCTGGAGTAGACATAAATACATGTCACATTTGGCACACATAGAGCCACCACAAGCTGCAGAAATACATCAACAAAAAGAAAAGCCATTGTCATCTTATGTACATTATACGTTTTGCATTATCCCAATTTTGTGATTATGTTTCATAATATTATGTTTTACGACCAAAGAATCTTTATAAGCACATTATGTACTTTTTGTCCAATGCTCTCAAATCTATTTGAATAAAAGAAAAAAGAAAGACTGACACAAATGGGATTCGTCAGAAAATGTGTTCCACCGAGACAGGAAAATAGATTTTTTCCATTACTGGACGAGGCGCCAAATTCAGCACCAGAGGGGAATCTCCAGCCTCAGTGTCCTGGATCCTCTATCAGTAATGACTTCTTCAATACCTGCCTGAGGTAGAGCTTGTATATCAGTCGGGAGGTATCAGTTTCCCTGCTGTATTATTACTGGTCGATCACTCTTGTACACGGCTACAAGGCCTAGGAAAAAAATGTAGTGTTTCCTGTTTCCCGACCGACCCTAGAAATTTTTTAGCTCCACGATCTGATACTTGAGTGATGAAACATTGTACAATCAGTTTTCCAACATTGAAAATATTTACTGGTTGATCAGTCTTGTACACAGCTACAAGGCCTAGGAAAAAAACGTTGTGTTTCCTGTTTCCCGACTGCAGGGGTCTCCTAATGGATTCTGAAGGGAGAGGTGCTCCCCAATCGGTTTGTGAAAAATCAGCCAACATTTTGGGAGAGGTTCTAGGATTTTGGGAAGAGGGAGAGCACCCTTGCTCCATTGCTTGGGGAGAGCCTTGACCCTAGTAAAAGCTGCCGACCCTAGACTTTTTTGTGTGGAGCCATGCAAGGGACATAAACTTTTCAAGCTGATTAACCTTTTGTAGCTCCATGATCTGACACCTGAGTGAAGAAATGTTGTACAATTAGTTTTCCAGCATTGACATTGAAAATAGTCCTCATGCAAGTTTTACTTTGTTAAACTGTACTGTATAAGTTGGACACCACGAGATTGCCAATGTCTAATAAAAAAAAGATAATTAGGGTTGGTAGGTAGGGATTTTTTCAGGACTGAAACAGGAAACAGAACATTATTTTCCTGGGCCTTACTAGTCGATCACTCTTATACATGGCTAAGACACAGGCCTAAATGTGGCCTGAGTACAGTATTGTATAAGTAAAGTTGGATCACTTAAGATTGCCAATGTCTAATAAGAAAAGAAAGAAGAAAAAAGGTAATCCCTACCTACCAATCTTAATTTTTTCAGGACTGAAACAGGAAACAGAACATTAGTTTTCCTAGGCCTTTCTGGTCGATCACTCTGGTACACGGCTAAGACACGGGCGTGAATGTGGCCCCAGCGGAGCACAATGGACCATGATCAATACTGACATCTGTTGCATATGTAGCAGCTGACCCACTTGTTTTGTTCAGTCCGGCTTCTGAGCTTTTTTTTCGATTGATAGAAAAACTGCAAGGTCTGCTGGAGTTTTGAGTGCATGAGTCCTGTGTGAATTTGAATTTGAGGTAGCAATATGGTCTATCTACGAGTTTCAGGGCTGAAAATACCACCTGTATTATGCACTGGTTAGTGCAGGTAAAATTGGGGCTATGCAGGACTATTTCTGATGTCTACCTGCTCCTAACGTGCACTGGTCCATGCACTGGGTATATGCAGGTTAGTGCAGGTAAAATTGGAGCTGTGCAGGTATTTCTGATGTCTACCTGCTCCTAACCTGCACTGGGCCATGTACTGGGTATATGCAGGTTAGTGCAGGTAAAATTGGAGCTGTGCAGGTATTTTTGATGTCTACCTGCTCCTAACCTGCACTGGTCCATATACTCGGTATATGCAGGTTAGTGCAGGTAAAATTGGAACTGTGCAGGTATTTCTGATGTCTACCTGCACCACCTAACCTGCACTGGCCTGTATACTTGGTTTATATATGTGTGTAGGCGTATGTGGACTTGTTGTTGCTGCATGGACTGTTAGTTACCACCTACGAAGAATAAAATACACATTTTTCCTGAACAGTTTGTGTGATCCATACTTTTCTTTTCCTGCACCTGCCGCCACCATGAACATATAGTTCAGTGAACACCTCCATTTTTCTCAGACCATGAAATTTCACTACCAATACACACAAAATGAATTACACTACCTGCATATGGTGGCAGTATTTCAAACCCTGAAAATCAATATACATAATTCATATTACCTTTATTATAGCTCATCTGGCTAATTTAAGGGAGGTAATATATGGGATATAGCCTTGATGAGTAAAGGCCATCTGACGAAAAGTACCAAGAAAAAATGGCTCCATAAAATCAGCTGCCAACAGAACATTTTTTTCAGAAAATATATGAAGCAACAGGTCAAAATAAAAATACCCCAAAATATTATGAAAGGAGCCATGAAATCAACATAATAGGATGGGTTAGAATTCACACAATGAATTTTGAACTGAATGAAACCAACAAAAAGTGGCACCATAAAATCATCCTCATGTCCCCATGTGAATATCGGCTGCCAACAGAACAGCAAATACCTGACAGGAATATTGATGTACGAGAATAGAGATAAACAACTTCTGTCTCCCTTCCAGTAGGCCCTCTTCCAACATGGCAGGCGCCTGCGTAATATATTCCTTCTCTCCCTGCTTTTTTTTTCATTGTCGAAGTCAGGACATGAAATTGAACATAATGATGATAATGGAGGCTGTGTTACATGATGATAAACCCCAACCTCTGCAATATGTTCCTATTTACAGGCTGTCTGGGACGGTAAAACTAACACTACATCATTCAGCACCACGGACAGACCCAACAGGTTATAACACAGCATCTGTAATTCCAGCATACATAAATTCTTTCATCACCCCTAATAAGCTATAAACCATGTAGCTGTTATGTGTTTACAGTTTATGTGGTGGGAATAAATTCTGGACAACCCTTGCGGGTAAGAAATTCGGGCGACGGTTAAGGAAAAGGCAGGAAAAGAGGCGCTTTTTTCCAGCGACAACAACCTGCATGATGAGTGATGACCTAGGGGGCCTTGTTGGTACTGCATTGCAGGTGTTTGTGGTGCATTGTGGGTAGGTCGTTAGGTTATCGCGCGTTCCCCGGGGAGGTGAATGATGAAGTGAACCAATTTGCGGCCGCGCGATAAGGGGAGGTGGTCCCCGCCGATAACTCTCACGGGACCCAGGCATAAAGCTCACGACATTGTGGGGAGCGCGCGCAGGTTGAGATCATTATTCCGTGCGATTCCGGGCCCGAAACTCCATGCAAAATGGATTCCAGACCCAGACGTTGCTGCGGCAGACTTGGCAGTGATGTTATTGGGGCGCTGAGGAGATGGTTTGTGGGCCGGAGTCAATGGTTCCAGAGATAAAACTCATAAATCATCGACAGGGTGGCCAATTAAACTGTGGAGAGGCAGAATTTGATGCAGCAAAACCCAAACTTGACATACACTGTTACCAGAGTATAAAGATTTCTGTATAAAATTCTGTATAAAATTCTG